CACTACCTATTGTGGGGCCTGAGATAGTTCTTGGAATTCAATGGCTAGAGGGACTCGGAGAAGTTACTACGAATTATAAGAAAGGCATAATGGAATTCTACTCGGGAAGCCGACTTGTTATGCTAAAAAGCGAACCAAGGGGAAAGAGCCGAGAAGCCGAAATGAGGAGTTTGGAGATAGCCTCGATCCTTGAGGACAAGGATATGCTTAAAGGGGGCGGGAATGATACGGAAGTGGAAGTTAGCATTTGCAAGGCTAGTGAGAAGCCAAAACGCAAAGGGTGCGCATCGGCCCTTGATGCGCATAATTGGGCAACTAGCGGCAATAGCGCGCCATGGGCAAGGAACGCACTCGGGGCAAAGTTGGGTGCACGCGGGAGCACGACGGGCAGGCAGCGCGCGGGATTTGGCGAGACGCGCGGGGCGAAGAGCAACGGGCATGCAGGGTAACGAATGAGAGTAACGAGGGAGGAGGCCTAGGCAGCGTAGGAATAGGCGTGGCATGGGAGACCGGTTGGTACGTGCCAACCAGCGCACGCGAGCAGGCGGCGCGCGCATCAGCACGCGCGTGGGGTGACGGGCGCCAGCGAGTCCGCAGCCTTCAAGGACTAGGCGCCGTAGGACGCGCACACGTACGCGAGAGGCGGTCGCGCATTAAGTCGGCCGAGAGTTTGGGGGCGTGTGAATTACTTGGGCATCAAGTTGTGCTTGGTGTGCAAGTAACTTGGAGATCAAGACCTTCTAGTTTATTAGGATTTTACTAGATATTTACTTTCCTTATTGCTTTATAAGATCTAGATTGTTTAGGTTACTTAATATTTTATTGCTTTATTAGAGTTATAGTTATATTAGGATTAGATCTAGTTAGTGCCTATATAAAGGCCCTTCCCTTATGTTATTTTTCATCATCCAAGAATTAATAGAAATCAAGAACTTTTGTTCATTCTCTCTTTGCTTTAGTTTTTTCACCAAAATCCTATTGCAATTATATTCGTTTAGAGGGGTACGGTTTGTGAACCTCTAGGCAACTATCGACGATTCAAGGCACTGGTTTGTGGCTTATCGGCAATCGGGACACGCGATCTTCATCATTGGTGCTTTCATTGAGAGGGTTTAGATCGTGTGTCTTTTTCTTCCCCATTCTTTTTCTTTCCCTCCTTTTCCTTTTTCGTTTGTTCAAAAAAAAAAAATAATATCTTCAAACACGAGACCGCGTAGTAAGGAGCGAAAGCAAGAGAAGAAAGCCATGGCCAATCGAGAGATGAAGGAAAAAATTGAGAGCTTCGAAGGCCAATTCAAAACCATGAGCGAATCTGTCGATGCGAGGTTCGAAGCCCTAACCAAAGAGCTCGTCGACACCAAGGCTGCCATAACCGATCACCACACGGCGTTGATGGAGGCCATCAACCAAAGGTTCGACGAACTCTTGAGGAATTTCCAAGGCCATCGACCACCACCGCACGATGATCGGCCACCACCGTTCGACGCTCGACAACCTCCACTTGGCGATCGACCACCCCCGCATGGTGCTCAACCACCGCCCCATGCACACGACCAAGCTAGGAGAGAGTTCGAGCAATTTGAGCGCGAGCAGGAGGAGGAGTACGAGAGGCAATCGCAGGCCTCGAATCAACATGACCGTCCACGTATCGAGAAACCAAGGCTTGTGCTGTCCACGTTCAACGGAGAAAACCCCGACGCATGGCTTAACCAAGCTGCGCAATATTTTGACATCAACGAGATGCCTTGGTATGAGAGGGTCAAATATGCGGCCTATTACCTAGATGGAGAAGCCAATGTTTGGTGGAAATGGCTTGTGAGCAACTACCAAGGCAACCCGCTCCACATCCGATGGGAAGAATTTGAACGCGAATTACTTGCTCGATTTGGGTCATCCGACTATCACAGCTATGACGAGGCGCTCTCACACATCAAGCAGACGGGGAGTCTTCGGGACTACATGAAGGAGTTCGAGGGGCTCGCCTGTCGGGTTCGCAACTGTCCGAGTTCTGCACTCATTCGGACTTTCATAGGTGGGCTCAAGTTCGAGCTAGCCGCAAAAGTAAGGCTCGACCAACCACAGACCATGTGCGAGGCCATGGAATCTGCGCGAAGAAGGGATGAACACTAAATGGCCACACGGAGGATCGGGCGAGAGAGTGTGCGCAACATGGAACAACGACGCACGGACCAACACTTGAACGAGCACACAATCATAGACAACGCACCATCGAACGTGAGCAACGTCCAGCCCAACCCGTGACCACCGAACAACTTTCGAATGCCTCCTCCGAGCGTTAAACCACTCACGTTCGAGGAGATGAGACGTCGACGTGAGAAGGGTCTCTGCTATAAATGTGATGAAAGGTTCACCCCAGGTCATCAATGCAAACGACTTTTTCTGATCGACGTCATCGAAGAGGACGAGGAAGACGCCTATGAGGAACAACCGGCGCAACAAGTGAACGAAGATTTGGAGATCTCGGTTAATGCAATGGCAGGCCTACAGGGACCGAGAACAATCTGACAGCCCGCCAAGATCAAGGAACGGCCAATCGAGGTACTAGTCGACACTGGCTCATTGCATAACTTCATTTGCGACCGAATACCTAAGGACTTAGAGCTCAAGGCAACGAAAGTGGAACCATTCGATGTAAGGGTTGCCAATGGAGAGCGGCTAAGATGTCATGAATATTATTGAGAGGTGCCCATCAACCTGCAAGGCGAGATCATCAAAGCCGACCTCTATGCACTACCTATTGTGGGGCCTGAGATAGTTCTTGGAATTCAATGGCTAGAGGGACTCGGAGAAGTTACTACGAATTATAAGAAAGGCATAATGGAATTCTACTCGGGAAGCCGACTTGTTATGCTAAAAAGCGAACCAAGGGGAAAGAGCCGAGAAGCCGAAATGAGGAGTTTGGAGATAGCCTCGATCCTTGAGGACAAGGATATGCTTAAAGGGGGCGGGAATGATACGGAAGTGGAAGTTAGCATTTGCAAGGCTAGTGAGAAGCCAAAACGCAAAGGGTGCGCATCGGCCCTTGATGCGCATAATTGGGCAACTAGCGGCAATAGCGCGCCATGGGCAAGGAACGCACTCGGGGCAACATTGGGTGCACGCGGGAGCACGACGGACAGGCAGCGCGCGGGATTTGGCGGGACGCACGGGGCGAAGAGCAACGGGCATGCCGGGAGCACATCACGCGCGAATGAGAGTAACGAGGGTGGAGGCCTAGGCAGCGTAGGAATAGGCGTGGCATGGGCGACCGGTTGGTACGTGCCAACCAGCATGCGCGAGCAGGCGGCACGCGCATCAGCACGCGTGTGGGGTGACGGGCGCCAGCGAGTCCGCAGCCTTCAAGGACTAGGCACCGTAGGACGCCCACACGTACGCGAGAGGCGGTCGCGCATTAAGTCGGCCGAGAGTTTGGGGGCGTGTGAATTACTTGGGCATCAAATTGCGCTTGGTGTGCAAGTAACTTGGAGATCAAGACCTTCTAGTTTATTAGGATTTTACTAGATATTTACTTTCCTTATTGCTTTATAAGATCTAGATTGTTTAGGTTACTTAATATTTTATTGCTTTATTAGAGTTATAGTTATATTAGGATTAGATCTAGTTAGTGCCTATATAAAGGCCCTTCCCCTATGTTATTTTTCATCATCCAAGAATTAATAGAAATCAAGAACTTTTGTTCATTATCTCTTTGCTTTAGTTTTTTCACCAAAATCCTATTGCAATTATATTCGTTTAGAGGGGTGCGGTTTGTGAACCTCTAGGCAACTATCGACGATTCAAGACACTGGTTTGTGGCTTATCGGCAATCGGGACACGCGATCTTCATCACACTGGCGCACTGGGGCGCGGCACAGTGGAACAGCGCGCGTGTCTGACGGTGATGCGGAAGTGGGTTTCGAGCCCCGACGACGAGATGGTCCATAGGCAGGTAACATTTGGGCGCAAGAAAGGGCGCATTAGAAAAGGGCGAGAATACACGCATTGTCGTAGACGCGCATGGCGTTTGGAGGTTGGAGCATTGGTTGGCACGCAGGGAGAGGATGTCGGGAGGTTGGCGCGCACGAGCAGTTGCTGCGGATGGACGGACGCGCAACGGTACGCGCGCAAGGCAGCTGGCGAGGACGCGAGGCACGCATTGGCGCGCAAGTGGCCAGTGGATGCACGAGACCTAGTTCGTGTAGGACTAGGCATGGCAAGGGTACGACGTGCACGCGCAGGCGGGACGGGCGCACATAGAGCGTTGGACGATGCGCGGGCATTAGGCGTGCCGGACGACGAGCGCGGGGCGCAAGGCGACACGTGCGAGGCACAATGCGAGAACAAGCAGGCAAGCCTAATCTTCGTAGGAATAGGCAAGGCGCGAATACTAATCCTTGCAGGAATAGAAAAAGCAGTTGAGTGCCGGAACGCGCGTGGGAGATCGGTGACGGGAGTAATCCTCGGAAGATCAGGAAACATAACCGGGATCATATTCCTAGTAGGAATAGGATTAGTGGATATGTGTTCGAAGCATTGTCCTACAAGGAATAGGAGTGACGCAGCAGGCGCGCGAGACCTAGTCATCGAAGGACTAGGCGAGCAGACGGTGCGCGCGCGTGCAATGCAAGGTGCGCGACGCCTAGCGCCACGAGGAGTAGGCAAGGTGAGGCGGCGCGCGCATACGCGAAAGGGGCGCGCGACGCGTACAAAGGAGGCGAAGGTTTGAGAAGGACTTGGAGCATTCTAGAATTGTTTGGAGTGCAAGACAAGTAATTAGGAGATCTAGTAGATTTAGGAATTTATGGTAGTAGGATATTTACTAGCCTTAGGATTTAATATTTAATTGTTTTATTAGTTTCCTAGTAAGATTAGCATTAGAGGTAGTTGGCATCTATAAATACCCCATGTACCTCATCATATTTTATGTCTTGAATTGAGTATTGAATTGGTGAGCCAATTTTGAGGGGAACTTTATGTTCTAACGTGTGATAAACAAGGTCGTCGGTGCGTGTTTACATACAGTGTCGGAGAGAAGGCCCTGAGAGCGTTTCGAAGTCACAGTGTCTAGGAGAAGGCCCTGAGTGCGTCTGCTAGATACACCTATCGTGGATAAACGAAGGCCCTGAGTGCTCCCTTTATTCACAACCCAGCGTATAGATAAACACATCGATCAGCGATCCGTCATCATTGGTGCTTTCATTGAGAGGGTTTCATTGAGAGGTGCTGATCGTGTTTTTATTCATCGTATCTTTTCTTTTTTTTTTTTCGGTTTGCCTTTTGCTGAGGGGCCGAATTTCTCTTTATTTTTTTGTTGGGGTTCGAATTTTTTGTTCGAATTTTCCCTTTTATTTTTCGAATTTAGTCTTAAAAAAAAGTGTCATCTTGTTAGTCCTTTGTTGATTTTTGTTCGGTTATTACCTTTTGTTGAGGGGCCGAATTTCTTTTTTGTTTCGATTTTTTTTAGTCTTGTTGGGGGTTCGATTTTTCGAATTTTTCCCCTATTATTTTCGATTTTATAGAGTTAAAAAAAAAAANAAAAAAAAAAAAAAACAGAATCATGATGTTTGAGCCATTAGTTGAGTGGGATCAAGAGGATCTTGAATATTTGGAAGGTTTGGAGAGGGAATTAACCCCTTGGGAGAAAAATTATTTGGAGGAGATGTACAAGAAAAGGAGGAGTATGAAAGACAACTAAGGGTCATAAAGGAGTTCGTCAAAGGAGAGCCCTTATTTACGTTCGATCTAGTGGGCTATGTTGAAGACAAGGCGGTCGAGTGTGAGGTCGACCAAGTCGAGGACGAGGAGACCGACGCCGAGTACACCATGGAAAGTTCGGGTGATTGGTGCAAAACGTGCGCGTGGCAACGGCGCGCACAACACATCGAGGTCCAAGAATCCGAAGAAGCCGAGGTCAAGGAGGCGATTTGGGTCGTGGGCGATGGAGGCTATGATGAGGTGACGAACGCGCGATACGATACAGATGAAGAGGTGGTTGTTGACGATAGCGAGGTGTTGGTACAGGTCGATGAGGACCGTGAGTGGGATGTGCACGTGATCGAAGAAGAAGTGCCCGAGATTTGGATGGTCGAAGATGAGTCCTTGAGGACAAGGACATTCTCAAAGGGGGCGGGAATGATGCAGAAGTGGGTTTCGAGCCCCGACGACGAGATGGTCCATAGGCAGGTAACATTCGGGCGCAAGAAAGGGCGCATTAGAAAAGGGCGAGAATACACGCATTGGCGTAGACGCGCATGGCGTTTGGAGGTTGGAGCATTGGTTGGAACGCAGGGAGAGGATGTCGGGAGGTTGGCGCGCACGAGCAGTTGCTGCGGATGGACGGGCGCGCAACGGTACGCGCGGAAGGCAGCTGGCGAGGACGCGAGGCACGCATTGGCGCGCAAGTGGCCAGCAGATGCACGAGACCTAGTCCGCGTAGGAATAGGCATGGCAAGGGTACGACGTGCACGCGCAGGCGGGACGGGCGCGCATAGAGAGATGGACGATGCGCGGGCATTAGGCGTGCCGGACGACGAGCGCGGGGCGCAAGGCGAAACGTGCGAGGCACAATGCGAGAACAAGCAGGCAAGCCTAATCCTCGTAGGAATAGGCAAGGCACGAATACTAATCCACGCAGGAATAGGAAAAGTAGTTGAGTGTCGGAATGCGCGTGGGAGATCGGTGACGGGAGTAATCCTCGGAAGATCAGGAAACGTAACTGGGATCATATTCCTAGTAGGAATAGGATTAGTGGATATGGGTTCGAAGCATTGTCCTACAAGGAATAGGAGTGACGCAGCAGGCGCGCGAGACCTAGTCATCGAAGGACTAGGCGAGCAGACGGTGCGCGCGCGTGCAAGGCAAGGTGCGCGACGCCTAGCGCCACGAGGAGTAGGCAAGGTGAGGCGGCGCGCGCATACGCGAAGGGGCGCGCGACGCGTACAAAGGCGGCAAAGGTTTGGGAAGGACTTGGAGCATTCTAGAATTGTTTGGAGTGCAA